GGAGTGTCTGCGGGAAAAGTTGATTTAGTGCCATGCAAACGCCATTATTGGGAAAGCTGATTTGATCACCGTACGTAGCACGGTCCACTCCTACTATATACCACCCATGGAAGATTCCAGAGCATTCGGGAGAAATCCAGAAAGAGCGCGAATTGAGTGTTAAGGAACTTTCCTTCCAACCTAATAGATCCTTGGCCTTCAGGCCCTCTTGTAGCTCACATGAGAGCACTTACAGCATGCAAAAAAAACACTTCGAGAAAACGCTACCTTCCCTGGAACTTCTCCCCCGTTAGGGGCTTGACACCGGTTGTGGACATTCTTGCCAAGGAACCCAAATTCACCAAGCAATTCGGTTGGTTCAACAGCTGGTTGTGGGAATGAAGAAGGTGCTTTAGTGATTCGTGATCGCCATCTTATCGAATCAATCTAATAGCCGATCCTAAAAAGCAGATGCTCAACCTATCCAGACAAATTCATCGATACCATAGACATACCGACATAGAGGCATCGTTAATTCAGTATCATTTCCGAATACGATCCGATTCTCATCTATTTCTAATAAACAAAATATTTACTCAATCGAAGAAAAATCGAGATACCAAACAAACAACAACAAAGTGACAGTGCAATGTTAGCAACATTACCCATTCCATTCCACAAATTAATGTACGTACTTCACATAGTGAGAGCAATAACTTGAAAATAATTAGAGCACCGTATTTCAATGCCTATAACAACAGCAATGGTATTGTGCTGAACCGTACACCAATCAGTCTTTCCATTCAATGTTCAGTACCCTCTGCAGAAAACTGTACATATCAACAATTTCAGCTATCTGAAACAGAACTATTTTCATGGCTGCTTACTTGGATGAGCTTCTCTTGGAAAGATCGTAGTATTAACTCACCACTTTGGCAGTAGGCTTCCCAGCACCATGTCCAGCTTTTACCTCAACGCGGACTAGAAGTGGGTTGGTCTGAGCTTCGTGTAATTTGGCCTATAACAGCAGTTTATGACAATACTTACACGGAACAAGATTACTCGTACTTCCTACTCTATGCGTGATTTTTTACTTAGCAAAGGCACTCCAGCTAGAAGCGCTCCCTAGGGAAGTGATCAAATGACCACTGAAGTAGATGGCCGGAGAAGTCTAACGGTCGAGCATGAGCAGCACCTGTACGCGCTGGAACGCACACCGTATTTTGTGGCCGCACACTGCGGTGACGAGAAAAGAAGTAGAAGTAAAAAGTGAAACACGTCCTCGAAAATGAGGCTCACGTCGTTGGGAGGGGGCATTCGAAGAGTAATCCATTTACAGTGTTGAGACAAAGCCTCAGGGAGGGGAGGGGATTCTGGGGCAGGATGCAAGCCGTTTGTGTCCTCCCTGGCGTTTCCCCTCTCTGGGCTCAGTCATAGCGTAACCTACCATTGGTCCGTTTTGAATGCCCCCCCCCCCCCTCCACACGAGACAAATTTCCGCAATGACCACCGCCACTTTATTTGAGATGCCTCATTCCCTGGCTTCTCATATTTGCATATTTGTGAATAGAAATGTGAAGGAACACGTGAACACTCCGTAGAAGCAACAAAAAATCCTCGTTGATCACGTCTACCAGGTCTAAAAGCCCGCTAACACCTCTACAGACTTGCGGTTAGTTCGTCAAGAACTCTTTCCAGCAGGAAACCCACACCACAGCATTCGTCTTTTACACACTGACTATGTCCCATTGTATAGGTGCCTCTTTTTCAATATGTTTCTCCCCAAAATCATCACTATCTTTTTCAATAACTCTGCTAATTGAAGGGGTGTACTACTTTCTGGACCCGATGGCGTAGATGGACAGCTTCAACACATACTAAAAAAAATTGAGCAAAACAGGTCCCAGCAGCGTAAAATACGACGCACATGCGCGTCACGCTGTTGTCGGTGTTTAACCGAATTCTTACAAGTGGGGTCTTTCAGGACATGGAGCGCTTTCTCAAAATGCTTACCTTTATGTTGTAGAGGCTCATATGAGGGACACAAAACCATGGTCCATCTTTCCTGAACGCCCCCAATGTCAAGAGAGCGGGAAAGAAATTGTACAATGTTCGATTCCCCGTGACGATAAGTATTTGCAATTATGTTGGCGCCTCCACATTGCTGCACGAAATGACCTGCAAATATCTATACTTCGACTGATGGCAGCCTTTGGTCGGAATTGGCTGAGCGCCAAACTAGAAATAGCAAAATTAGTTCATCACCGGGGGAGTCGCAAACTGAATCCATTTCCTCAACGACTTCTTTGACATTCGCTGGAGGAAAAATAAGATCATAGGAAGGTTTCTATCGTTCCCTCGATGGATTCCCTAACAATATGTAGAAAAGACCACGTATCGAAAAAGCGCACCATGGCCTGAAAGACCTCCCTTGTTAGTTCCCATCTTCATCGGAGTTGAATAACTTCCTTCACATCCTCTCAAAATTCGTACAAGAGCCACATTTACACTAAGTTTTCAAGACTTCCCAACAGTGAAAAAGAAAAAGAAAAGAATATACCTTCTCATATAACGTGGCCGCATACTTCAAGGTATGACTTGGGACGACGCGATCGTCGTGATCAGCAGTCATCAACAAAGTTGATGGCCATTGCCCTCCTTCAGGGAATTTGATGTTATGCAGAGGCGAATACCTTAAATAGCACCGCTTTCGAACAGTTGATGATTTAGCAAACATAGCGAACTGAGAGCGAAGTTGCTTTTGTTTGAACAGCTAGAGCTGACCGAAAACAAACTGGCCATTGAACTTTGCACGGATTACCCTTAGAGCAGGCATAAATATAATTTTATTAAAAAACTGACTTTGAGATGAATTTGAAGTCCTTCTCCACATCGGGATTACCGAACTCTGGAACCCAGGCTCCACCGACTGTGAATTTGTGGAATCGAAGCATATCCATGACACTACAAAACTACCTTCATAATCAGTAGTAAATTCCACAGAAACAGCGGCACTTATACTCAACATACGATCCAGCCTCCTGGATCAGCTCTGCCACAACGACGAGACAAACCAGGCGCAAGTTCAGTCCACATCTTTCACTGCTAACCAGTGAAAGACCGCAATTCATGGGAACTGTCAAACCAAGACACTAACCCAACACGATTCAACACCGCTCCATAGAGCTCAGGTCGTTGTTGTGAACAGGCGGCTACCAGTAATCCACCATTCGAACCGCCATGAATGGCGAGCCTGAAATGAGCAAATATTCGACTTTTTGATTACCAGTGGGGCAAATATGTGTCACCGAAATTGGCGAACTTTCTTGGGGCAGGAGCGCCCATTCGAAGACCAGATTTAGCACGAATGCAACCCAGATATCCCTTACTACAATAACAATTCGTCACGAAGTAAAGTGGTTTGCTTTAGATCAATTATTGAAGCAGGTTCTGGAGCAGATCGTAAGTCGAGTGAGGGTCCAAAAAAGAACTTACAGTAGTTTCACACGTTTTGCTGGTAGCTATACTAGCGGTTCTAATATTTGATTGATTCACAACACCGAACAGCATGTGAACGATGAAAGATTGGGACCATTGACCAGCTGAGAGTGAGGAGGAGGAATATGGTAATGATAGCAATCACCAATCACCATCTCCTGGCTTCCACAGTTTGGATAGTTGTGAAATGGAACCACAATCGTCTGACGGCGATGTGGCTTTAAGTTGGAGAAGTCAACGAAATTGTGCAGAGCAGAAAAAGCTGGTTGTCCTGATCAAATTTCAACCGAGCTAATAACTGGCTTCCTTATCGAATGATACGAAATATTAGGTCGTGAAGAAAGTTCTTGCGCTTTTCGACCTTGATTTTCAAATGCCTGTATCTCGGCTCATTCGAAACCTTTTTGATTGGAGTAAAGACTGTTAGAATCCACAAACCTCTGCCAATAATAGCTGCGTTGATAACTTCTTGGAGAAGCTATCCAGGTAGTCGAGAAAGTGACAATTATAGGCAAAGGTCTACCGAGTAGGATGTTCGCAGGACTAATTCGTAGCCAATCTTGTCCAACTTCTGCAGGGTTGGTTGTGGAATGTGCGTCCGAGCTACCTGTCAGGGACGAGCCGGTTCCTTTATAATGAGGAATTTCGAGCATATGTGCCAGAGTTTTAGAGTAATTTGACACATTAATAAAAGGATAAAGCATTTGCCGTTGATCAATCCCTTTTTGGGATGCGGCACGCATTCTACTTCCATTTGTACATTCGTAGTGGCGTTTGAATGCGATGTGGCCTATACAATGACTTGCGGGGGCCAGCCGATGTACAAGTCAGTGTTTTTATCCTCCCAGACAAGTCTGGTACCAATTAACCGACCCCGGAGGGATGGAAGGCTTGGTTGGCCCGGGCGACTCACGACCCAGGATTTGATCCCGGACCGCTCGCGTGGTAAGCGTGCCACTTGCCACTACACCACCGCCCTTGACACATTATCAGGAGTATTTCTTCCACGTTGACAGATCCACCTGGTTACGAAAAGCTAGACCAGCCGCTGACCTTATGAAAGTCACCTCAACCTTCCTTCAGTGAAGTTTCACTTTTGCAAAGTTTGTAGAGCCTGATCGCGGTCGATCAGCTTCAACCAGAAAGTGTTTCGTAATCTGTAGCAAAAAGAATCCAGTTCTTTGTCGTGCGTCGCAAATGATCAAAAAGTCAGGTCGTTTTCATGGCATGAAACAAGCTAGAACGCGGCGAACGACCCTTCAAAATGGTGCGCTGTCGCGGCACGCCTTATTTGAGTTTTTGGGACTTTTCAGCTCTTCCCGTGCTGTGCAAACGTGCTTCTCAGCACCCTCACAATCTTTAGGGCTCTCGCTATTCTTACAAAAGCTTTTTGAACAATTGCTTCAGACCATATTTATTGCGAATCTCAGCCAAGTGCGTCTATAATATCTTGACCTGCTTCCCTCTCCATACTGGCCTGCTTTGAGCTAGAAAAAGGAAATCATGCAAATTTGCTCTTGGAGTATGCCGTATTCAAGGCTTCAAAAAATGACAACTAAATAATAAGGAACGTAGCTAGCCTAGCTGTTAGATAGAACAAGAAAAGATCTTCAAAATCACATGCAGCTCATTTTCAGCTTTTCGCGACAAAATAAAGCGTTCAACGAAACACCGAAAAGCGCAAGTACTTTCTTAACGTTCTAATATCATTTGAGTGAAGGATTTCTGGTTTCTACTTGTATCGAGTTCGCTTTTCATATGGCTACCTCCTACCACAAAAAGATCGTAAGATCACTCGGGTGTTACATAAGTGTTTTAGATTCATTCCAAAAATTGCATAAAACTATGTCACTTCATGGAACTCAATTACGCTTACCTCTTACTGTTCGTGTATTTGTTCTTAATGAGATATTCGGCTGCAGCAATGAAATCATCGAAAACGTTTTGCTTCTTTTCTCGCATTCCTCCCATGTGCCAATTCTCGCCGTACTCGCTGAAAATTATGGAGAAAAAATAATTGTGAAATTTTTACTTTGCTGGATAGCGTAAACCGCGACGGATCTTTTTTGACGATCATTTAGCCCGGTCAAGATGAAGAGGTTAACAAAACCGTGCTGACATGTTTCGAAAACGGCTTTCATGAACAAGCCCCACTCACTTACAAGCCCCATTTCTCCAGCAGACTGAAAGCGTGCTCTTTTCATGAAAATCGCCCCAAAATCATTCGAATATGTTGGACCCTACGTTCACATTCGGTAAGAAAAATTCAAAACATTTTGTGAACCTTGCTAGTCAAGTTCACTTACCGCATATGCACAAGTTCAACAAAAAATTAAAACAATTGGTATTGTACCTGTCCCCGTTACCATACTCTTGGCACACTAATGTAAGGCGAATGTTTAGACAACTAACAATAAGTAAACCAATTTATGAATGAATTGTGAAGCTATTCACTCACCTTCCTCCACGAAGGTTTGCACAAGCAACAAAACCACGGAAATGTTTTACCACTAGAAGACGGCTGATTGAAAAGTACGGCATGTCAGAAACGTTGAACCCTAGAATACGCACTCACTTATGTGTATAGAGAAAAAGGTGGCTGGGTAATCGCTACCTCCATAACCATTCAAAATTGTGGGAGTATCACCATTCCTTGGAGCACCTTTCAATGAGATGATATACATAGGAACCTATAAAGTCAAGGAACTCGTAGGTTTATAGAAACAACAACTATCACACCAACCTTAGTTTTGTCCTTGCTCTCGTAGAATACTTGTTCTACTGCAAAGTCCTTCTCATCCATTCCATGTACAAGGACTCTCCGCAATTCCTATAACCAGACCGTAGAGTCCCTTACATTAGTCAAAAACATGACAATATACATAAAACTCATGAATCTCATGAGCAGAAGTTGTACCAGTCGCTGGTCTGTTCTATGTGCTGCTAAGGCCAGCACATCACAACAAAAATAACAAATGTATACCCCTATCCTGCACCAAAAATACCAGCTAAGAATATTGCCCTAAGCATTCACTAATCTGTGCTCAGTGGGCAAGAACGAAGGCAAATGACCCCACGACTGCGAACGGCCAAATGTGGGGACCATTTCGAGAGAGTAAATCAGTCTGCTCTGAACATGCATTGTGTCTTGGACATTTAATGGTAATACAAACCTTGACTTCGGGCACAGCGTTTTTCCCGACGGATGCAAAGTCAATACTGTAGATGATGGTAGGACTGTGAAAGATTCGAAACCGAAAAAACAAGCCCCACTCACTTACAAGCCCCATTTCTTCCAGCAGACTGAAAGCGTGCTCTTTTCATGAAAATCGCCCCAAAATCATTCGAATATGTTGGACCCTACGTTCACATTCGGTAAGAAAAATTCAAAACATTTTGTGAACCTTGCTAGTCAAGTTCACTTACCGCATATGCACAAGTTCAACAAAAAATTAAAACAATTGGTATTGTACCTGTCCCCGTTACCATACTCTTGGCACACTAAGGCGAATGTTTAGACAACTAACAATAAGTAAACCAATTTATGAATGAATTGTGAAGCTATTCACTCACCTTCCTCCACGAAGGTTTGCGCAAGCAACAAAACCACGGAAATGTTTTACCACTAGAAGACGGCTGATTGAAAAGTACGGCATGTCAGAAACGTTGAACCCTAGAATACGCACTTATGTGTATAGAGAAAAAGGTGGCTGGGTAATCGCTACCTCCATAACCATTCAAAATTGTGGGAGTATCACCATTCCTTGGAGCACCTTTCAATGAGATGATATACATAGGAACCTATAAAGTCAAGGAACTCGTAGGTTTATAGAAACAACAACTATCACACCAACCTTAGTTTTGTCCTTGCTCTCGTAGAATACTTGTTCTACTGCAAAGTCCTTCTCATCCATTCCATGTACAAGGACTCTCCGCAATTCCTATAACCAGACCGTAGAGTCCCTTACATTAGTCAAAAACATGACAATATACATAAAACTCATGAAGCTCATGAGCAGAAGTTGTACCAGTTGCTGGTCTGTTCTCTGTGCTGCTAAGGCCAGCACATCACAACAAAAATAACAAATGTATACCCCTATCCTGCACCAAAAATACCAGCTAAGAATATTGCCCTAAGCATTCACTAATCTGTGCTCAGTCATTTGAATGGGGCAAGAACGAAGGCAAATGACCCCACGACTGCGAACGGCCAAATGTGGGGACCATTTCGAGAGAGTAAATCAGTCTGCTCTGAACATGCATTGTGTCTTGGACATTTAATGGTAATACAAACCTTGACTTCGGGCACAGCGTTTTTCCCGACGGATGCAAAGTCAATACTGTAGATGATGGTAGGAACTGTGAAAGATTCGAAACCGAAAAACATTTCAGTATGCGTTTTCTTCCCAAAGAACCCGGAAATTGACCTGAAAGGAAGGAACAATCGATGTTAGCCAAAAAACAGAGCAGGAAAAAACAAACAAACACGAAGTTCAATGGGTACCGTACCCGACTTTCAATGGGATCGAGTATAATCGTGAACCCGTGTTGAGATCATGTACATATAAGGCATCCTATAACAACAAGGATCAACAACAACACGGGGAAAAACGAGATGGTAATAAACGCACTCACCTTTACATCTTCAATATAAGAGAGAACAAGACGATCATTTGCCACTGGTGTAGCCCAGTCCAACTTGTGGCGAGGATTTTCAGGTACAACTTCTTTGATTGATTTGTCTTTCAATGATACTCTTATCAACTTGAACATAGGAGCATTGTGATTGCTGTGGATCAGCATTGAATCGTCGTCGTGATCCACATACTTAAAATTTCTCCATGTAAGCAAGATACAATCTAGCAATGTTAAATTAGATCACAGAGCATCACAAACTAATTGACAGCCTTTACTGCAATTTCGCTTTGTACGAAAAATACACCGAGTTCGAATTTTGTAAAAATAACGCTGAGCTTTTAATTGTGTTACTTATTCATTAGTTACTAGCACTTATAATAAATGACACTTATGTCGTTAAGGGGGAGGCATTTAGGGAGTCAGTCAGTACGGTAATCGGGATTGAGCTTTAAGGAGGAGAAGGAATTCGGGGAAAGGATGTGAGCAATTTTTGTTCTCCAAATCCCTCTCCTGGGCTGAGTCATAGCGTCACCTCATCGCGTCTTTCGAATGCCCTGCTTTGAATCCCCCACAAGGTCATGAGCACCCCTGAAACTTAGTAGCTCCCTGTCATGTTAAAGATCACTTTTGAGGAACTACCACGCCACATCGTTACTGTTTCATACTGGATGCAGCATACTGCTTCTCTTTGATCTCTTGAGGTTTCAAGAGTTCCACGAGGTCGGTGCTAGCTTTAGCTTGGTCGCCCCAATTTAGCTTCGTCGCGCACTGAAAGAGTGGGCATCTGTGGAGGGGTGAATGTAGCTTTTGGATGATTTACTGTCAAAGATCAGTTATTATATATCCAACTTTGGCAGCTCACAACCGAATTCTTTAGCTGGATTCAGTCTGGAGTGTGTACCAATCCGTCCAAATTCTCAAAAGCCAAACCTCGTATTTCGCTTCCAATTTGTCGAATAATGGCGTAGGATCGATTCTGCCAATTGGACCCTTCATCGCAGACAGATCATAGTAGTACAACATGTTGAACGGATCACATCCACGAGAAACATCGATGATCAAGTAACGGCCATCTTCTGTCACTGTTCCTCCACTAAAATTTGACCTTTGATCTGAATGGAAAAGCAGCGAAGGCAATAAGAAAAAATTACATCATGAAATTGCTACTGTCCCTGCGGTCATACACAAGAACATCATCCTTGCAGTCAGTGCCCATACGATGGAAATAGAGAGAGTGGTTCTCGTGCTTCTCCACTGATGTGCCATCGATAGCGGTCTAAAAGAATGTGGACAGTTCAAACGCTTGTCTGGACATCCAATGAACAAAAAATGTACCTTATGATCAGGGTACTTGCAGTAAAACAAGCCAGTTTTGTCCTTCATCCACGAGAGGGAAGAATGTTTTACACCTGTGATCGTGTCGTCCAGATCTTTCTTATCAACGCCGCGGAACTGAAATTCTACAAAGATTAATGAATAATACGAATACGGAAGTATTTTTGAACAGTTATCTATTGAAATTGAAATAATAAGTCCGCAGCAAAAAAGCTCCCTCAGGTTAATTCCTGATCGTAAAGTCCTAAATGGAACTGAACTAATCGTAATCGAAGACATTCATTTGGTGACTTGACTCTTTTCTGCTAAACATGATCTTTTGATCAAATCAAGAAAATAATCATTAATGTATTCGCTCTATGAATGCTCAAAATTCGCATAAGGATCAGTGTTGATGCTAGGACGCACCTCGAAATGGTGCGCAGGAGCCCTGCCCGAATTCTGTGATAAACTGTGATGAAAACAAAAACAACAAAACAGCGAAAAGAGCAACATTCCCAAAATGATCGCCCTGCACATGACAATTTTTTCCTATGCAGCAGTCATGTGAGATCAACTCAAAGTGCGGACACGGTTGACCATTACAGCAGGCCATCATGAGAGGCGCTGCATGGGAATGCAAGGCCATGGAATGGATTTCAGCAAGTGCACCAAGAGGGTTGTTCCCTTGCCAAGCTTAAAGGCAAGAAGCAGGATTAAATTGATGGGGTGTGAAATGTGAAAGTGTGAAATGAGTCTCAAATGTGAAAGCAGGGGTGGGAGGTGGACCGGATGAAAAAGAGAAGGAAAAATTGAAATACACAGGAAATACGAGCATTTTGCTCTATGCTGTGGAGAAGTTCAAAAGACAGGCAGGGAGATGAGAGATAATGTGAGCGCGGAGAGCGGTAGAGAAGTCCGAGAAGAGAGAGCAGCGACGCAGACAAGATATCGAACGGTGGGCGGACCATGTTAAGTTTGGTGGAGTCTGTTAGAAGTCCATGGCGCCTAGGGTCCTAGTGACGCGTTTCGATGTAGAAAGGTGGCGCTACCTTTGCACTTGCGTACCCAGCACTTCTAGCCATGGTAAGGGCTTCTTAGGTGGGTCTGAGCCCGAACTTTGCCTCTGAGCCCGACTAGTGAACGACTTGGGTTAAAGAATCCACTTCGAATTCGAAATCTGAACGTAGGGCCGCTAACCGGAAGTCTCTAAAGGTTGCTGGTCGATCTGATGACGCGCAGGAATATCCAAGTCCTATGCCTTCAGGAGACGCGATGGAAAGGAGCTAAGGCCAGAAAAATTGGGGGAGGTGTCAAACTCCACTACAATGGACAGATTCAAGAAATGTGTCTCTGCCATGAATAAAACCATTGATCTGAAAATGGGAGTAAGGACAGAAACGCAGATGTTCCATACAGTCTGTCCGTTTACTCACCACAAGCAGGTAGCTCCGAAAGCGACAAAGAGTTCTACCTGAGCCTTGACGAAACGACTCACTGAGCTAATTAAGAGGTAAAGGTGATGAAGAGTGTAAATAATAGTGACGGCACCATCCTCAAGGAGCCATTCCAAGTTAGGGATAGGTGAAAATACTACAGTGGAAATCTGAAGAGAAGTCCCCGAACAAAGGGGAACCACAACCAGAGGCGACGCCCCTCACTTTGGGCAGAGGGTGAGGATCGTCCAGAACTAAGGAAAATGAAGGTTGGGAAGGCGGTTGGTCCAGATGGGGTGCCAATCGAGGCATGGAAGGCGCTCGGAGAGTACGGGACAGATGGCTCACCCGATTCCTCAACTGCGGAAGGAAGGATGCCAGATGCCTGGAGAACAAGCACTATCGTCCCCATCTTCAAGCAGAAGGGTGACGCGATGGACTGCTCCAACTACCGCGGATCAAGTTGACTGCTCATACCATGAAGCTGTACGAGCGACTGGTCGACTCGAAGCTGCGGGAGCTGGTCCCGATCTCCCAGGAACAGTTCGGGTTCATGCCTGGAAGATCTACAACGGATGCCATCTTCATCGTTAGGCAAGTGATGGAGAAGTATCGAGAGAAGCGCCGACCTGCTACCTAGCCTTCCTCGACCTGGAGAAGGCGTTCGACCGGCTACCGCGAGCAGTACTATGGAGAGCGCTCAGGGAACGGAACGTGCCAGAACACCTGATCTCTCTGGTGAAGGACATGTACGATGGGGCAAGGCAGCTATACGCACCCCACACGGCCTAACGAAGGAGGTGGACATCACGGTTGGGGTGCACCAAGGGTCAGCTCTGAGCCCCTTCCCCTTCCTCCTAACCCTAGATGCCACTGAAGACCTTCCTTTATGCTACGACATCATCCTGATAGCAGATAGCAGAGAAGAGCTCCAGGGCAAGCTGCAGAAATGGCTGCAGCTACCGTGGGATCAAGTTGATTGTTGATACCATGAAGTTGTACGAGCGGCTGGTCGACTCGAAACTGCGGGAGCTGGTCCCGATCTCCCAGGAACAGTTCGGGTTCATGCCCGAAAGGTCTACAACGGATGCCATCTTCATCGCAAGGCAAGTGATGGAGAAGTATCGAGAAAAGCGCCGACCCTGCCACCTAGCCTTCCTCGACTTGAAGAAGGCGTTCGACCGTTTACGTGAGCAGTGATCCCGAAAAAGCGTTCGAATATTCACGTGAGCAGTACTATGAAGAGCACTCAGAATGGAACGTCCCAGAATACCTGATCTCCTGTTGGGGGTAAAGCAGGAATAGGCATTGCATGATTTAACGAAAAAAGTGGACGTCACGTGTAGGGAGCTCCAAGGATCTTCTCTGGTAAGCCCCATAAGCTTTCCCTGACACTAGATGTCATGGTGAAGAGATCAATGGAGGAACCACTGTGAACTATCATCGGTGCTGATAGAATCGCCCTGATAGCAGAAGCAGAGAAGAATTCCAAGAAAATGTGCAAAATTTGGCAGGAAGGCCGGCGGAATGAGGGCTTCCGTCGGATGTAAAGAATGCCAAGCTACTGAGCTCTGAAGAGGGTACATAGCCGTACAGGGAAATCACCGAAAGAGTGAAGGGCTTCGATGTCTCAGGACATTTAGCCGCCGACGGCAGTGTGGATCAGGCAGTAAAGGCACGGATCAACGCGGCATGGATGAAATGGAGGGAATCCACTGGAATCCTCTGCGATCGAAGGTGCTCCAGAACGCTCAAAGGGAAGGTGTACCGGACAGGACAGGTGTAAGGCCTGCGATGCTATACGGCAGCGAGTGCTGGCCCCTGAACATAAACCACTACTTCGCTGAAATGAAGATGTTGACATGAGCAGACGGCTGGACGCCGTTGGACGCTGGGTAAGAAACGAGGATATCAGAGCGGTCATGCAGACTGCCCCTGTCCAACTGAAGGCGAGGGGCAAAGCCTGCGATGGTATGGGCATGTGCTAAGGGAAGCAGTAGGATTACTCGATGAGGAAACACTTCAACTTCTACTTCAATGTATAGGGCTAGCGACCACGAGGAGCCTGGAAGAAAAGGTATGAAGACGTCATAAGGAAAAATTCCCTCAATGGCGGAGTTAACGATGGAAAGGTAGCTAATTGAAATCAAAGTAGAGGTGGTCAGTGGTGCAGGGATGAAAAGAAAACATGAGAAACGGCCCAGAACCCGAGAAATGGGACCCCTTCTTTGCCCGTTGATTTCCGCATTGATGCGACTCTCATCGGTGCTGCCCTCTTCAACGCTAACGCTCTCTCTGCTAAACGGCTAGAGTCAGACGGCAAGAGGGTGGGTGTGCAGCGGCGCAAGCGGAGTGGGTATGGCCCTGAAGGGCCACTTGGGCAAACTTTTCACTGCAAACGCGCATTGTTCCGCACCCTCGTATGGCCGCCTGCCCTTCGGCTTGGGAATACTTCCCTTTTCCGAGGCCTCCATAGCGGGACTTTCCTTTGAAGCCACGAGTCGGATTATGGCCCAAGAGCCATTCCTTGCAATAGTGAAAACGGGATCCCATGCGCAGGAAGTGCGACAAAGTCGTGGCTTAAAAGTGTGAGGCAACGACGCTAAGACCATGCCTTCCGTGCTGCCATTCTTATCAATCGCATCGTGCGTGACGTCTCGCCTTCCGGCGTCCAACAGCTCTCGCACGTTTTCCCTCTCCTTGCAGTGCTACGTCTCTTCGTAATTCTACGCTCGGCCTCACATCCAACGTCTGCTAAGGAGCTTTCTGCTTTACCTCTCCACTAACGTTCTTCAGGGCACTTCCTGCCTAAATTTCCCACACAATGTGCCCAGGCTAACAAAGGCTGCGGACACCGCGACTGCGCGGGACTAACGCTAGGAGAAAAAGATAGAGAAGAGATATTTTCCGTCATTTCTCACACGTTGACCCGCATGACACATTAACATAACAACCAAATCGCTGAACATTTGTCGGAAATCGATGGGTCTAGAGTCCAAAACGATAACCATCACAAAAACGAGCTAAAAAAAAGAAATTTGAGAACCCGTCTGCTGTCTTTGATGTTCTCAATTCATATATGAATAATTTTCGAATTCGAGCGATATACGATAGATACGGTCAGTCGGCGCATAGTTCGGTGAATATGATGGGTTCTAAAAACTTGAGAGTTCTCAGAGGACTACCTCAACGGATCGTCCTGAGTACGAGCGCGTGTTCCTATAAAGAGACATGTCTTCCTCGCCGGTTGCGTCTCTTCGGTTGTGGAGGCCGATTTACATCACGCAACCGAGCTAATTAAGGTTACTGTCGATTGTCTTATTTTACGAGTGTTTCCCTAGCACGACGTTCCTCAGTTCCATCAATCGCAAATCGTAACCTTTTAGGGGCGTCTAACTCAACCCGAAGTTACCATTCAAAGTTGTGGAATGACCTTGGGACAACTGATACACTTATTGGCACTATCACCACACACAACCCAAGGTTAGAGGGATGCTTTGCCATCTTTATGGCCTTTATGGTCCCAAAGAATAGCAGATGTTTAAAATGATGATTTTCGCCGCCTGGACATACAGTGCTTTGAGCAGAGAAAGCGCTTTCGAGTTTCCTGGCTAAGGCAGGTAACATTGAATTCCACCAGAACACAACGCTTCGAACTTACCCAACAACCCAATGAACAAAAGTAAGCAGATTAATTCGATAGAGCTCAGAAGCATATGGTGTTCGGGGATTGAGTACTGAAGTCATGCTACTAGGCGCGGAAAGGAATATCAGAAAGCCTGTGTAAGATGGGCGTGAGGTGAACAACACTCACCTTTACAGTAACCCAATCGCTTCCCTTCTCGCTCAAACCATACGCAAAAATCGAACCATCTTGCGTCCAAGCCGAGATTCTAAACGATAGCTATTAATTAGGAAAAACACAATTCAATCATAAATCTTCTATTTCACCACCACAAGGGGACAATAAAAACAGTCTTACCTTAGAAATGTTGTTCCATCGGCCGAAAGCGTGTTCGGATCTAGGAAAACTTCACCCTTCTCAGTAACTTTCTTTTGTTGATAGATCACGCTGGAAGACAATATTTTGAAGAATCGCATTCAAATGCACCTACCCTTCGTAAAACCTTACTATTGATTCTGAAGACCAGAATTATAACTGTAGTAGTAGAAATCTCCACGCTTTGATGGACAGCTGTATTTCTCGTAATCCCACAGCTCGGTCAGCCTAACGATAACAACGGTTACAATGGAAGAACCCTAACTATGTATTATATCAGATCCAACCGCTTCCTGATCGTCTCACGGCTTGGAGCTTGAGCTATAAACGGCTCCGAGATGGCATTCAACTGATCGACGAAATGACGAGTCTCTTCCGAATCTGGATCTTCCATCCAACGGTATGGATCAGGAACCTGTAAAACAGGACACTACTTGTGTGGGATCATGCTTGTGAAAGTTAAGCCAAAATACTCAGAGCTATACAAAGAAGGAAGTAAAACAAGATAGCGAGAGTGTAGGTTTGGGCGGGAACAGGAAAAGTAAGTCGGTAGAGAATCGATCAAGGATTTCATGACAATTTGAGTGAGAACCATACCATCACAATTATCCCGAGTTCATTGGGATAGTGTAAAAAGGCTCCAATGAAACAAGAGAAAAAGTGGTATACAAACAAATGTTGGAGAGCAGGGTGAATATCGGTTGAGGATTCCTCAACGGCGCGTCGAGGATTTTCGCCTGATCAGTTACGTTCTCCGCGTCACACTCGCCATGCGCGAGCCGTCTGTGCTCTCCGCGCGTACGTTCATTTCGGTACTACTCTCGCACAGTGCAGAGCCATGGGGCCGTATGCTATGCTTCCCCGAAGCTAGGTGACGCAAAGTTTCCTTTAAATTTATTTGCTTTGAACGATGTAGTTTCTTCATTTTCAATGCATGTTTACTTTAACCTACATACATACATTAAATGTAGGCCTTTATCAGGGCAATCCCAGTTGGGAAGACAGAGAAAATTTAAAGGAATTTTCGTCCCCTAACCCCTTCGGGAAGCATAGCATACGGCCCATAGTTGAGGAATTCCGCGACGGCTATTCACCCTGCTGAAGAGTTGGAGATCTTCTCAATGATTGGATCAGTTCTAACCCACCATAGTTCCGTGATAGTTATCCACAACCGACTCGTCACGACGTGCTGTTGGATAAACAGATGGAGGGATCTGAATCGACGACGACGACGATGATGACGACGACGAAAACTTCATTCTATGCCAAACCGTCGTGCGACGAGCAAGCTTAAAAGCAAAAGCATCACAATACCTCAGTTTAGCTCAAATATTATCATGGTGATCAGCTAGCTACAACATTAACGCTAAGTAACTTCAAAAATTTTAGGTTATATAAACAGCAAGGTACTAAGTAAATAAGTATGTTAGTAAGTGGCACTCTATATATACTTCGAATATTTCCTTGTTCAGAATAATATTTGGATCAAATGTTTCAGTAGTCCCCGAAAAATACCTATGGAAATAAATTACTTAGCAAATAAGAGTGAGCGGTGAAGACGCACCAAACAACAACATCTTTTCATGGAAGGAGCTGCAGAAGCACAGGTAAAGCACAACTTTAGCCACAAAACCCAACGATGGTAGTGTACAAGCAGCAAAAAAGGGCTGAAAAAAAGATGAGGGAAGGATCAAGGATAGCGGACCGTGTTAGACATCCAACGAACGTCAGAGCGTCGATGCAGGAATTTCACTTGGAAAGCTACATAACAGACCTGGGTAGCCATAGGATAGTCACTAAACACCAAACAAACAATGGTACAGCAACAAAATTTTAGGAAATATAAAATCTTATGGGTTCATTTCAATAGAGACGGATCCAGCAGTGGTAAACATTGAATAAGCAACTATTTCATTCAGGATCACCTAGTTAGCCTAGCAGTTGCGTGAGAATCTTTCGAGGTGATGGAACTTCTTGCATTAGGTCCCCGGTTTCCGTTCCCCTGCGGTCCCGGTTCCAGTCTGGTGAGCTCATGTGAAGTTCTCCCATCCTTTCACTGCTTTCCTATAAGGTATTTCTCAGCCGTCCACCACTGCGCATGAATTCATGTGAATGGAGATAAATTAATGAACATTTTTTATGTTTACTTATAATTTGTAGTCCCCAATAAACTTATGTAATTATTAGTCACCAATTTGCTAACCTCATATCGCCTAATAGGCGCTGGTGGCATAGTGACCTCTACGTTTCGACCTAGTTAGGGTTTCCCACATAGGCCGAGCCCCTCAATTGGTGCAAACAAAACGATTCCGTCTAAATTCTTCCACTCTTCAGTCCCTAAAAGGAAGTCCTGGCGCTCATGGCTTCAGGCGGAACATTCAGATCAGGGCATTTCATAACCGCTTCTAGGTGACACTGGAACTGCCTAGGAATGTCTCCTCACCCCCCCCCCCCTCCCTATCCAACGAAATGAGTGCCAAAATTTCAATCAGTAACGCGTTCGGAAGTGGAGAAAAACAGTACTTTTGTAATTATTATATGATAGTACAATAATGCCACCAATCACATTCGATAAGTATATAAACTCTATCTATTGATTAACTGCTAAAAACTTACTGCGAATGAAGCGAGGTTTAGGAATGATAGCATAATTGAGCCACGTCGCAACACAGTCGACTGAAGGTCTACACATATCCACGATGATAAGACATTTAAAAAACAACATAGTTCCAGTTTTAAAAGCACGTAACACACAGGAAAACGTATTCACTGCAGTCATCTCACAAGACAAGCACGATCGCTTAACATAAACAAGAATTATCTGAGAGCTGATCTAACAACACAAGTGGACACACTGAGCGATACGACTTGAACAATCGATTTTGACGTCGAAAAAGAAGAACCGACCCTTGCTCATTTTTCATAATCAACGGATACGGTATGGATGGCGGCACTACAAGGCCATGTCAACTACCGTTCTCCAAACGGGTGACCAGAAACCACAAAAGGGTTTACCCGACCATTTCCAAAAATTACTAGAATATCATAATTATGTGTTAACAACTTGGTAAAACCGAATCTCAAATCTCATCCAGGATGATGAAAGCCATGAGAGAACGCGTATTACCAATACGTGTCTAGTCATACATGGATGGCATTAAGGAAGAAACGATGAAACCGCATAGATTGACTTGAGGATGACTAAACTTTGATGACAGCATGACGCGCATGCGCGTCAGATTTTCGTGCAGATGGGCATGGTTTTCCTTGATTGACTTGGTATTTCTATTAGAACAAATGTCCGCATAAATAAATCTACTCATTACCAGTAACGAAATTATTGAAAAAGTAATGCTGGTTCTGCAGCAATATCAAAAAAATGCCGGAGATCACGCATTGGAGACCGTCGTCTATGTAACATACCAGTATATACTTTCCGAACGTGACCGACTACAACTTACTCAGAGCTATATGTGGTCGCCATTAAGCCTTGGGAAGGCATATGGGCCTTCCGTTCAAACCCCTATGTAAAAGGCCTGTCCCAATTCACCAAGAAAGTTCGGAACCTTGATAAGTCCGACTAGGATTTGTTGCTACGCAACATTGCAAAGAACTAGAGGCACCCTTCGATATTGCACCAGCGGTAGCCATAGACAGAAGCGTAGAAACCCACACTCAAAGAGATTAAGACCTTTAGCATGGAAACGAAACCTGCGTAACGTAACGTAAGGCTGGTGTCAGAGTCCGCGATCCGTCGCAGGTTTCGCTGATTTTCGCGATTTGCGCGATTTGCGCGATTCACGCGATTTGCGCGATTCGCGATTTCGCGATTTTCGCGATTTGCGCGAAACCTGCGACGGATCGCAAAAATTGCAAGTGTGTGAACATTTGAAACACTGAATATGAAACAAGTGGAATCATGAGCAGTCGTCATTCAGCCATCACTATCAAGCAGAAGTGGCGGCAGGATTGGAGAACACCTTGCAGTATTGATCGGGCACTTGTGATTTCCGTGACCCGTCGCGTGAATCGCGCAATCGCGCAAATCGCGAAAATCAGCGAAACCTGCGACGGATCGCGGACTCTGACACCAGCCTAATAGTTCGTAACGTATGCTAGCGAACTGATCTCAAGAAGGTGCTTTTTACACAATATACTTCCTACAACTAGTTCTTTTCTCGCTCATATTCGCTTCAGACCTTTCAGGGCAGGAATTTTGCCAGCCCGATTTGATGCGATAACACAGCTAAAGACTTATCCATCCCTCTCCACTGACCTACTAATGGGTAAGAGCTGACTACTCACGAACTTGAAAGCAAGCATGTTACTAACACAACGAAGCTTATGAGCAAACGGAGATTATAGATGAAATGCAAACTTGACATGCTCCAATCTAGAACCATGCCCTAACAAAAACTATACAACAAATAGTATGAACCTTAGTTGATCCACCGCACAGTAGACGTATCTCTTTAGACAATAAACTGGGCGAAAAGAAGGGTTTTCCAAAGCGAAACATTCTTCCAGAAGTGCTGCCACCTTGAACGCTATCAACAGATCAGCTGCGGCTCATACTCGTAGAACGGAAAGGGGTACATGACATACATGACAATGCGCATGACCAGAGTTGAATAGATAGTAGACAGGAACCAAAAAGCATACCCATTTGCACTCTCACCCTACAACTTTAGGCACCGTCAGACAACTAATTTGTTCGGTCCTAGGGGGCTGAAACCAGCAGGTTACAGAAGTTAATCAAAATGTGCGACTCCACAAAGCCATTTTCCAAGAAAGCATAATGCAGGGCACCTAGACTTTGTAGAATGGGCGTTAATCTCAAAGAGTTGTGGTAGTGTCACAGACACAAAGGGCGTTGGGGAAGCTAAAACCTAGTAAGCGGTTAAAGGATGAGCTGTTAAATATTACCATACCAGAGTTCCTAATACTGCTCACCAATTTCCACCGAAAAAAAAGGATACGGTCATCTTTGAATAAGCCTGTGCTTGGAAAAAGGGGAACTTGTTGCCTGTCGACCACTACCTTCAAAAGTATGGGAAAGGAAAGAGGTATTGGTACCGATCAACTATTACAACCTAAAAAAAATTAAAATTTATTTTCCATCGAAAGAATGGCATTAATTTTCGGCGCTGGCGCTATTTGTAAACTTTTATGTAGTGGTCATGGAGTGTTCTAGTTACGAAAATGGCATCCTTGGCGCTAACCCCAGGCCGTCTTCACCGAATTCGGTGTAATATGTATTACGAATAACGATAGGTCAGCACAGACAATGATTGAACCCTTACTAGACCGGCTGGGTTGGCGCACTGTGACGCGGGGGAGGGGGTGTAGGGGCGAGTGAGAGCGTGATGCCAACGGCCCTAACGCTGTCTTGAAGAAGAAAGGGGATCCTACAAGCACGGAGCCCTTTCGCAATGGCCCTAATATTCTCAATCAAGACACCAAATGATACCTGCGTACAAGTTAACCAAAAGACGATGTTACGGTGTTCCTGCGCGAGGTCGCGATTGTCGCGATTTCGCGCGATTGTCGCGATTTTCGCGATTTCGCGATTTCGCGATTTGTCGCGATTTTCGCGATTTGCGCGATTTTCGCGATTTTCGCGATTTCGCGATTTCGCGATTTTCGCGATTTTCGCGATTTTCGCGAAACCTGCGATGGATCACAGGAGTTGGAAGTGCCCGATGAATACTGCGAGGTGTTGTTTAATCCTGCTGCGAATTCTGCTTGGCAGTAAAGATTGGAAGACGAATGTTTGTGGTTCTACTTGTTTCATGTTCAATGTCTATTAGTTCATTGAAATGCTCTTGAATCGTTCCTATTTTTTTCAGGAATCAAACCAAACCAATCACAAAAATTGCAAGTGCCCCATTTGAACAATTGAAACACTGGATATGAAACAAGTGGAATCATGAGCAGTCTCCATTAAACCATAACCATCAAGCAGAAGTGACGGCGGGATTGGAGAACACCTTGCAGTATTGATGGGGCACTTGTGATTTCCGTGACCCGTCGCGCAAAAATCGCAAAAATCGCGCAAATCGCGAAAATCGCGAAAATCGCGAAAATCGCGCAAATCGCGAAAATCGCGAAAATCGCGCAAAAAATCGCGGACTCTGACACCAGCCTAAGACAGCTTCGGCGAAAAATGTCGCCAGCGCCAAAACTGAATGTTAGCTTCGTGATTAAGACATCGATCTATCTCGATGGGCAAAGTTTCGACGGAGTAATAGAATTTCGAGATATTTAGGGTTGTAATATTTGATTAGTGCCCAAATATTACTACATCAAGTACACAACATACATCAACCAATGCAACCAAGAAACAGTATGAACACTTAGTCGATAACACCTATACGGTATGCCGGAAGAAACGAAATGATAGTTGAACCAGCAAGCTACGTCTGAAAAATTTATAGCACCAACAAAAGAGAAACTCTAATTCATTCATGGCGTAAAAGCTGTAGTAGCACCTTGAAGGACATGGGATTTGACGACTAAAAATGCACATAACCTTCGATATTTTGCTCAGTCAAAAAATAACTCACAGGAAGAAATTAAATGCTAGAATAATGGAGTTATGATTAAGTTATCTGAATATAATCTAGTGAAACTGTTACAATTATTAATGTATTACCTCACAATGCAGGAGCTTATAAAGTTAATAGCCAGACACAACGCAAAAGTGGCATGTTAAATAAAAAGTGCACTCAATTCTCTATGCAACTGTCAACTAATATGACAAAATCACATTCCTGTATAATCACACGTACTTTAATTATCCAATTTCGGAGCACAGGCACAAACTAAAACATCAATTAACTATCCACAACACAAAAGGAAAATTTCAATTAGGCCGACTAAACTACTGGGATATACTCATCTCCACGGTAGGTCTAGGAGTGGACACCGGCGATGCTGCGTTCATGCTCCCGCGGCGCACAAGCTCTTCCAAACGTCGACGAGCTCGCTGTTCTCGATCAAGAGCGCGATTAATAGACGCGAACTCCTGGCGGAGACTGGCCACCTGGTCCTTCAACGCATACACCGTATCCACCAAGCTCCTGCAATACTGAACATTCCAGCACAAAAGTGAGGGTATATGACAGAAGGCCTGCAGCGAGGCGAGAAGGCAGAGACGCATACGGGTCAGCGGACGAGTACGTCCTATTTGAAATGACTCGAAATCACTGCGACTTGACCGCTAACCTGTCTGTATCCCTGCTTTCACGCCGCGACGGGCCTCCTGTCGGGCACCTCGAAAATGAGGACCGTACAAAATAATGCAATACGGAAACAAAAAAGTCACGCGAAAGAGAGCAAAGTTTGAGAATAGGGTGAAAGAAGCTAAATTGTACTTCTCCTGAATGATGATCTCGTCTCCAACAACTTCTTCAACAAGAATCTTTTCGTCCTCAGCTACTATCAACTGCGGAGGTCGACAGTCTGTGATTACAGGACCAGCTCTCGCAGCACCACTACAATATGCCTCGATGATGCGCAACAGCTGTGCATCATGTTGCTCGTCAACATTCACTGAATTGCCAATATTTTACAAAACCACAGTGATCCGAAATTCTGAAATAATTTCTTTACGACCAACCTTCTTTTCTCATTTTTACGTTTTTCTTCGAGGATGATGGACCTGCCAATATATGGCGATGAGGAGGTAGAACACGGAAACACATCTTCTTACTGGCATCTGTGATAGATGTAATGAAATAAATTTGCCAAAGTGAATCAATGAGAACGTTGTGACAAATATCTTACCACCAAAGGACCGTCGATTAGTAGCAGTGAGTCCTGGTTCATCAGCATCGTCAGGCAAAATCATTTCCAACTCGTGATTTAATCGGAGGTCATTGTTGCCAATACTAAAATGGTCTCGAAAAAGCTGTCAGTTAAACCATGTTGCAACAAACCTTGTACTATTGTAAAACCTCTTCTAGTAAGGTAAATGAGGTGCGCATAGGAACAAGGTGTCTACACAACCTTGCACAGTTTCAGTACACTCTAGTTTTGTGACAAAAAAAGATGAGCAACAAGAAACTGTCAATTTTTCAAAATAGTACTCACGATGCTTTTCGTCCTATAACAGCTCGCTCAGCCATAGGCAACTCTGAGATATCCGCTTTACGTGACGGAGATAATGTATGCTAAAAGATAAACACATATCAACAGCAATCTTCACTAGGTCGGGGAAAAAGTTTCGGTCGAAAACTTCTCCTTCACTAGACACTCATGTTTTTGATATTACAGGATCACAATTTACTTGTTCACTATGATGGCTTGAAAGATGCGCTCAACATGTGGCAAGTTTTCTGTTCCCTGAGTGCTGTGCTGTGGCGGCCGCTAATCAAAAAGTTAAAGAGGTAAACTGCAGCAATGGCAGGGAGACAGACGGAAATCGACCATGTGCTGGTAAGAAGATCATCCCTCAGAACTGTGAAGGATATCAAGGTCTCCCTGGCGAAGAACTGGCTCCCAGCACAGGCCCCTCCTGGCAGACATTGCCATAGACCTCCCCAAGAAGACAAGGGTAAGAACCGAGAGGAGAATCCGGTGGTGGAGAGCAGTGCAGTAAGCGAATAATACGACCTCAACCGAAGAACGATGGAAGTTGGTCTCGCACTTTCTGACAAGCCAATAAGTTCGCTGTATCACCAACTTGAAGGAACACGGCTGAGATGATCCTACGATGCACCAAGGAGGTACTGGGCGAGACGCGAGGTGGAATCAGAGGAGACAAGGCAGCGTGGTTCTGGAACGAGGAGGTCCAGCGAGTCGTGAAGAGGAAGAAGGAAGGCATACAAGCGCTGCAGAAGACGCGGAGACCAGAAGGCCTTTCTGCATCACTTTCAGCAAGAGTAACAAGTTGGGATCGTTAAGACAACCATCGCAAAGGCAAAAAATAAACACTGCTTGGATGAGCGACAAGTTGGAAAGCCGCAAAGATATTCGTCTCCAAGCTGGCTAAAGCTCGACAACGAGCGACTCAGGATATCAGGGTCGTGAAAAGTGTGAATGGCAGCAACGGCACCATCCTTAGAAGGTCGAAGGGAAAAGGGAGGCGGCGACCCACGGGCAGATGCAACGGCTGGTCCTCGCTAACGGGTAGAGGGTTCGTCGAAAAGTAGGAAAGATGAAGGTTGGGAAGGGTTGGTCCAGATGGATGTCAATCGGGCATGGAAGACGCTCAGAGAGAGGTGCTCCCTGTCGAAGAATCGGCTCCGCAGCACAGGCCCCTCCTGGCAGACATTGCCATAGATTCCCCCCATACGGCATAAGATGGCACGCCCGATTTCTAAACAACGTAACTGCGGAAGGAAGATGCCGGATGCCTGGAGAACAAGTACTATCGTCCCCATCTTCAAGCAGAAGGGTGACGCGATGGACTGCTCCAACTACCGCGGGATCAAGTTGACTTATCATACCATGAAGTTGCACGAGCGGCTGAACGGTGAAACCATCGGAAGAATGGAGTGGTCTGGCTGCTGACGTTGTGCGTATCAGGCGTGAAGGCTCGGATCAACGCTGCATGGATGAAATGGAGGGAGTCCACTGGAATCCTCTGCGATCGAAGGTGCTCCAGAACGCTCAAAGGGAAGGTGTACCGGACAGGTAAGGCCTGCGATGCTATACGGCAGCGAGTGCTGGCCCCTGAACAAGAATCACGAAAGGCAGCTTCACTCCGCTGAGATGAGGATGCTGAGGTGGGCCTGCGGCTGGACGCGACTGGACAGGGTCAGAAACGAGGATGTCAGAGCGGTCATGCAGACTGCCCCTGTCCAGCTGAAGGCAACAGCGTCCGATGGTATGGGCATGTGCTAAGGAGGCCACAGGATCATCCGATAAGAACAGCGATGGACTTCGAAGTGCAAGGCAAGCGACCGCGAGGAGCCCCAAAGAAGAGGTGGAGAGATGTGATCAAGAAGGACCTAAGTGAAGTCACGGCCACAGCAGGAGATGCCCTGGACAGAAAAGTGGCGACGACTGACAAAGACAGCGGACCCTTGCAACTGGACTATCGCTAGAGATGGAAAAAGGTTAGCAGCCCCCCAATTCTGAGTTCGACAAGTTTCTGGCGAAACATCTTCGACACATGCGACCGGGAATCGCCGTGAAGGAGACAAGCTCGTTCTCGTGTCGGACGTTTCTGTCGAGAAGCGGCGCTCGAAGAGTAACCTGAGCGGCCATGATAATTCCGGCAGGAAGCAGTTCGAAATGGAGCATTCTTTGATAAGTCCATCCAACAGAGCAAAACAATTCTCTCGCATTAGTCACCTTTGGGCTGTGTTCGAAGTGGTTACCCGAAGGGTATCCACTTGTGAGTCGCGTGTGGTTGACAAGTTGAGCTCAGCTAGTAACGACAAATCGGGAGGCTTATTCGTGTTAGGGTCCAGAAGCAAAGATGCGCATGTACTGATATATGACGCTTCGGCTGAGGTAGCGTCAGGGGAGAAAAAGCAGCGTGGTTCTGGAAAGAGGAATTCCCGTGGATTGTAATGTGGAGGAAGCATGCATACCAGCAATGGCACAAGACGCGGAGCATAAAGGGCGTTGCTATCTACAACCAGCGAAAAGCTTGCGAGGGCTGATGTCGCCACGACGAGCACAGAGATGGTCGCCTTGAACGACTCGTCTTCAGAATGGCTGAGGCCCTGGCATTGGGCTACTCAAGACATCAGGGATGGTGAAAGTGTAAAAGGCAGCGATGGTGTCATCCTAAGAAAGCCAGCCGAAGTCAAGAGGAGGTGGGAAGAGTACTTCACGGGGCTTCTGAACGAGGAGTTCCCCCACAAGAACGACTCACGGGCAGAGGCCACAGCTGGTCCCATCGCACTCTGGACAGAGGGTGAGATAATCAACTTGCGCTATGGAAGATGAAGGCCGCAAAAGCGGTTGGTCCAAATAAGAACCACTGGAGGCATAGAAGGCGATTGGGGAGCATGGCATAATTAAGGTGGCTCATGCGCTTCCTGAACACGGTAAGCTGGGGAAGGAAAGATGCCGGATGCCTGGAGAACAAGTACTATCGTCCCCATCTTCAAACAAAAGGCGACGCGATGGACTGCTCCAACTACCGCGGGCTCAGGATGATGTTCATACCATATACGAGCGGCTGGTCGGCTCAGGCAAATGGGAGTGATCTTGATGTCCCAGAACAGTTTGGGTTCATGCCGAAAGATCTACAACGGATGCCATCTTCATCGCAAGGCAAGTGATGGAGAAGTATCGAGAAAAGCGCCGACCCTGCTACCTAGCCTTCCTCGACCTGGAAGGCGTTCGACCGGCTACCGCGAGCAGTGCTATGGAGGTCGCTCAGGGAACGAAACGTGCCAGAACACCTGATCTCTCTGGTGAAGGACATGTACGAAGGAGCCAAAGCAGCCATACGCACCCCTCACGGCCTAACAAAGGAGGTGGACATCACGGTTGGGGTGCATCAAGGGTCAGCTCTGAGCCCGTTCCTCTTCCTCTTTATACTGGATGTAATGATGAAGGGTAAGGCACTTGACGTAGCCGAATGCAGTTATATAAGCTGTGACGGAGGAAGAAGGGAAGTCGTACCGAGATTCTCTACTTGATGGGGGAGGGGGCGTAAAATTCTATGAAATCAGACCAACGTGACGGCTGAGCCTGAACAGAATGCCTGCTATATGTTAAGATCTTGCACGTAGAGAAACTACCACTAACTTCCATATGACTGCTACAAGATCTTGTTCTTCAGCAACCTATGTATAATCCTAAAGCTACGCACAACCTAACGAGTTCGTTTCATGACAAAAATTCAAAAGGTAGCTCATGGAGACGATTTTACAATAGATCTAGCGCTCTTGGGCACGAGTTCTTGAAAACGCTCGCTTTTAAACTCAGACCTACAACTAGCACCAATGGATCCCGAAGAAGAAGAAACTGACCATATTACTGACTGCAAATGACTGTGGCATGGCAGGGGGTGCCAAGGTTGAACAGTCTTCAATAACAACGCCTTCACTTTTCGCAAATGCTTCAAGCCATCGTTCTAAGTCGAAAGCAGATGAAATGGAGAGCTCCATATCTCCTAAAAAATCGACGGAAGACATAAAGTCAAGTTGGATATAACACAGCATCTCTAACAATTTGGGAAATGAGCATATGAAAATAGCTAGACAGAAGATAAAAATTCGATATCCATATATTTACGAGTATACTAAATTTTTGAAATAATAAGAACACTTACCAACAACAAGACCTGCCCTGTTCTCCAAACAACGAACTTTTAGATTATGAGTAGAAACCTTTCGCAGTAATCTGTATGAGTTTATGTCCAACGTTATTTCAAGAATCATGAGCATTTTCGAGAACAACGCAAGGCATCTGAACTATGAGAAACTGAATGAGTGAAAAAAAACTTGAGTAGTGAACTAGCGAGATTAAAACTAAGTCTGAAACAAACCTGTCATCACAAACACCATCACATGTAAGTGGGACCACACCAACGTAGAGAATACGGCCTCTTTGCTCAAAAGAAGCCCAGCCCTCTACTAATCCAGTGTACAGAAGCTCAAGTTGCAACTCCTTCTGCTTTCGCACAGCCTCACATAACACCTGAAAAAAAAGAATACCATCGAAAAACATCAAACTCAAACTACTCAGGTGCAGCATACCTTCATCTCTTTGAATACAGCACATGAACGCTGGACGTCCCCACGATCGACATGGCCTTCCTGTAACATCGATAAATCCTATTATACTCTTGGAGAATAGCGCGCACGATCGGGAAACTTCTTCAATTTTTTCATGAATTTTTCACTCATACGGTTTTTCGTGGGTGATGGGGCATGTCGGTCGTCCGATCGTCTTACACGCCTGACGATAGATACGTATCCCATGTTGTGCGATCGTTGCGATCAGACCAGCTACGGAAACCCTAATACAGCGCCACAACAAAGCGTCATTCGGAACGCTGAAGTGAAGCGTTACGTGTTTTATGCGGAGGCACAACTTATGTAGTTTCAAGTATTTCAGCATCTTAACTTTATATACTGCCTATCAACAAATCTTTTCCGGTAACCTACACTAGAGAACACTTGGTGGTTCACTGCAAAACTTGGCAAAAAAAGGAAAATCATAACAAAGACTTAGCAAAGCTCACAGGCATATTGCGTTCAAGTTCTTGTAGCACTGTTGGATACTTATCAAGATGTCGGAATGGTTCACTGAGACCAGCAATTAAGCTTGGAACATGCCTACCATGTTCGAGTAATACACTCCTCACAGCATCCCTGAAAAAACCCACTTATAGAAAAAGAGCAATATTCATGGGGAAACTGTATAAAACGTCCCTACATCAATTGAGACTAATTCGTCAGTTCCTCCGACTATTAGCAAAATTATGAACTTCTAAATGATCGGCACCGATGAAATTTGCATGATCACATTTGAATATAAAGGTCAGGCAATGTGGCAATTTACAAAATGGACAGTCGCACTCCGAAGCATCTCGAACACTCCAATAGATGGTAGCAATGAATAGTAACAGCTGAATTATCAAGCGTAGCTTCCGCTCATATTATTCAATACTCGGCTCACTACTAAAACCATGGAATTAATGTGAGCGGGTGTGTTCTTATGGTTTACGGACTACTTGAACTTCTCTTCTATGTATGGTCCTGCCACGAATGGCGGAGGGCACAGACAGTTAGAGAACGGCGCCTGGCTCGGCTCCAAATCCCAAGGAAGGAGGTGAGAGCCCTAGGACTAAGCCTTGTAGGAGGGAGGGACTTCGAGGTGGGTGAGCCAACTACAGTGTGGCAAAAGTTTGAATGTGTGAGATCACAATGGTCATGAGCCGCTGATAAGGCGAGAGCGCAGCGCAGGCGTCGAGTGAGGCTGCTTGT